CCTCCAAAGTACCTTAGGAAGTTACATGTCTGGGGATTTGGAGCTTGGAGAGTGGGCTGGCCACCTGGCCAAGCTAGAAGAGGTTCTAAGTCTTCCTTATACAAACTGTTCCCCTGTCCCCTGTTTTCAGCCCGCCCTTCAGTCCTACTTTCCATGGATCCTGGGGTGTTCAATTCCTGAGGCTTTTTCACAGCTCAGTGGTGTGAAACGCCTGGCTTTTTATTGCTTTCTTTCTCTGCAGGGTATTGGGTTTCAGCATTTTCCGCTCTGATGTATTATTTAGCACCCATGCATCTACTTTCCCTCCTCTGAGATTTTGTTGACTTTGACACCCCTCATCTGGCATCACCTCCTGGGCACTTTCCTTGTCCTTGCAGGCTCAGATTCAATGCCACACAGGGCTGTCTTTCCACTGGACCCCTAGGGAGACCATAGGGAAGATGAAGGCAGCCTTCTACACCAGTGGTCACATGTTCATCAGGAACTCAACATTTCCTTGAGGCCCAGTGTAAAACAAGAGCCTGAAACCTGAATGCCACTTCTATGACACCTACAATTAACTGTGAGATCTGGAGCCAGACAGCAAATGCCTCCAAGCCTCAGTTTCCTCTTCTGTAAAATGAATTGGTGGATCAAGATCCCTTTCAGCTCAGAAGTGCTGTTGATTATGCAGTGTGCCACATCTTAAGGGGACGTTTAATTAATTTGTGAGTTTAAGGAGATGGGGCTCTGTACCTGCCTCCCAGAAAAATGCCTAGGTGATGAGCTTGCCTCAGGCCCAGAGGTGGCCGGTATGCCACCCAGCGTCACCTGATACTTTATTATCTCTTGTGGGCATGCAATGGCAACTGTGCAGAATACAAACCTGCCAGCACATGGGGTCACCTGGGCTTTCACACCGATTGACTTCTTTTTCTAAGATTCCCTGTTATCCAGAATGCATGTAGATAGAGAGGTAAAAAATCCAAGACCTATTTAGAGAACAAAGATGAAGTGCTGAAAAGGAAGAGGCAGAAGACAGGGAAGGAGGAAGGGAGAGAAGGACACACAGAGAGAAAGCATGATATTTTATTGTTTCCAAGTCCTCTGCTCTCACTTGTGGCATTGAGGTCTGTTTATACACTGGGATGGGCATGCCAAGCTTCTTTCTATGGCATCCATTAGTACTCAGCTCTTTGCTTTCCCATCCCTCTTTCCTTTCCCTACCAAAGATGCTGCATGTGTTGTGCAGCAGCTCTGAGAACCACACTAGATTCTTATCTGAGCAAAAGAAGGGAATTTTCTCAAGAAAGAGTATTTTCACTACTTAAAACCTAGGTTTTCACTGTCTCAACCCAGAACCTCAGTGTCTCTATACAATCTTTGCCTTGAGCTCCAGGACCACTGTGCAAATCATTTTCTCTGTTGTCCCAGGCTAGGTCAGATTACCTTAGAACTCTATAGTCTCCTTCCAGATAAATATCAACATGAATTCATCATTGTATATGGTACAAGATGTGAAAATGAGACCCTTGTTCACTTTGTCTGTGATTCCAAAGGCTGGACATACAAAACAATGTTCTTTCACACATTAAAGAAAAGGACCAGATGAACTGTTCAGGGATTGCTAAGGAGTGGACTGTAACTGCCTATGTCAATGCTACTGAATCTCTCCTTCCTGCCTGTAGAAGAGGCTGTGGGGGCTGGGGCTGGGGTCAGGGTTTGAGTATGAAATGGCACACATTGACTCATGTGTTTGAACTCTGGGTCCCCAGCTAGTCCTGATGTTTAGGGGAGGTTATGAAATCTTTAGGAGGTGGAGGGTTGCTGGAGTAAGTATGTCACTGGGGGTGGGCTTTATGGTTTATAGCCTGGCTTTGTTTGCTGATTTCTGTTACCTGAATAAAGACACAAGTCAGATTCCTGCTCCCACTACCATACCTCCCTGCCTGTTTTTTTTTTCTCCTGTCCAAGATGGATTGTATCCCTCTGGAACTGTAAGCCAAAACAAACCCTTCTTCCTTAGGTGGCTGTTGTCAGGGTATTTTTTTATCACAGCGACAAGAAAAGAAACAAATACAGATGGGGAGTGGGGGTGAATGACAGTCCTAGAGTCACAAAAGTATTGTGGTGCCTGATAGACTCTGGGTTAGTTCAGCATAAGGGGATGAATGGGGCTGGGACTTGGTGACTGGGGTCAAGGCTAATGAATGGGCTCTTGAGGAGAAAGCATCATCTCTTCAGACCACTGGACAGAGCTTTGGATTTTCTGAGCATCATTCTCCTGAGACGCACTTATGGGTTGTCTACTGACAGATCCATGCTGAGGGAGCCCCCGTCAGAGAGCTGGCCCCCAATAGAAAGCTGGGATAGGGGTGCTCAGGACACAGTGGAGAGCTGCCAGGGCCCCCTGAGAAGAAGTTTGTGGGGCTGAGGATGTCTCTCAGATACAGAGTGCTTGCCTACTATACGCAGAGTTCTGTTCTCAGCACCGAAAGGTGAGGCTTTGCTTGGTGGAAGAAAGGGGGTGACAAGACCTGAGGATGCAGTGGCTTGAGCTGTTTCTGAAACTCAGCAGCAGAGGTAGAAGGAAAGAGGTACCCAAGAAACAGGTGAGACAGAGATGGACAGAGAGAGAGCGAGAGAGAGCCGGTAAACCAGCATTTTAATATTTGTACAACCCAAGGCACTGACATCAGAACCACAGCTGCACCTTCCCTGCAAATAAACAAACCTTCCCCTTCCCCTAGCCTTGGGAGATGTAGGAGCTAATGTAACGGGGACGAATGACCTGGAGAATAGTCAGGAAGCGACCACAATTTCCTCCTGGTCTCACCGGGCCCAGTGACACTCCAACAGTGTAAGTTGGTCCTTTTTAGTTCACCCATCTCCCTTTTGTTTTGTTTTTAGTTGGCACAATCTCTCATTAATTTCTCACCCTTGAGCTACCATTTACCCTCCTTCTTGCAATAGCAAAAGCACATCTAATGGGGATCCATGCCTGCACCGTCCCGCTCTGGAATAGCCTAGCCATGGTCAGTGCTTGTCTGTCTGGGGAAGAAATGGAAGATGAGAGTCCTACAGCACTCTAGGAGGGGTAGAAGAGGCTAGGCCACTGAGGATCTGGACAGAGCAATACAGGAGGGTGCAAAATCCAAGTACCATGAGCAGTTATGTGCTTGGGTTATGGTTGGGAGAAAACCCCACATGAGGGGGTGCAGAATTCAGGTCCAGCTCTGATACCAAAAAATCGTCACAGCTAGGCTGTCCTCTTGGAACCCTTAGGGCTCCCTCCTGGGTAGTGCTGCTGACTCACAAGAGCTCCTAGGCTGGTTTTGAGAAGTAGGCTTAGTGCCTAGGGAATAAGACCTGTGTGTAAAGAATGTGACATCTCTGTCTCTCCACTCTGTTGTTCAGTTGCATTCAAGACAGTCGTGAACATCAGACTGACAGCATTGTTTCAGAGCTTCTTAAGACACAGATACTTGGGGCTTACACTGCTGGTGATGTGAGAGTTTGAGGTGGGCTTGGGAATGGACGCCACCATTCTATCAGGGCCCCCAGATCACTAAGCATGTGGCCAATTCAACCAATTTGCACACACTAACTGCCTGTAGTTGACTTCATGTCTCCTGCTTTTCCTTCAGAATGTTATGTAATTAAAACTGAGCTCGTGGGCGAGGGACTCAAGAGGGGCAGGGAAGGAACAAGGGTGCAATTAGAGGTTTCTCCAGTACCCTGACAGAGGGTTATTTCAGCCTGTAGTGCGGCAGGTGGGGTCCCTTCTGACAATGCCAGAACAGCTCATGAATCTCCCTCCCATCTCACTAAATGTTTGCCCACACGCAAGACTCTCTTTGCTTCTTGGTGATGATGCTGTGAAACCCTGCCTCCTCCAGCCCTGCCTGCTGAGTAATTTATGGGACCCAGAGGACAAGGAAAGTAATTGGGTTTTGTTTTCCCCACTGTCAGGCTCCTTCTGCTGCAGAGGAGTTCTGATTTCTGGGAAGTCTACTGGTCTGTCACATTCACAAGGAGAGGAGGAGGGTGTTTACAGTCCTCGGAAGAAAAAACAACTTCCAAAGCTGTGCTTTCTTTTCTGCACACAGTGGTGATTAAAAATAGAAGCCAATTAGCCCTGGAGAAGTTGGGTGCCAAATAGCTGGGGTATCTGAAGAAAAGCCCACTCTCCTTGCTATTTTTGGTGATGGGAGCAGCATTTCCAACAGGTGGAATTCAAAGCAGTAACAACCAGTGGTGATTCTGTTTCTCTGAGGCTCACTTGTTCCCCGGATACTTCCTCCTGAAGGATTGGCTGCTAGGTTGGAAAGCAAAGGGGATGCTGACTAGCAGGTGCAGATGGACTTGAACTGTGGCTTT